CCAGCCCAGAGTTAGCAGCAGGATAACTGAGAGTGCTCCGAACCCAAACAAACCACTTCCAAGGACTGGGGCGCTCCACAGGTGCTGGAAGCAGGTCCTGCTGCCTGTCCCTAGCAGTGGCTAGGAGCCACAGAGTACAATAGAGTGATGGCAGAGGGGAGGCCTAACGGGGATCCTGCATGGCAAAAGCAGAAACGTGTGGCAATGGCGCTCAAGACTCTGGATAAGGAGGTCCCCTCTGGGCAGACCCAAGCCCAGCAGCCCAGGCTGGTGCTGGGAGAAGCTGTGCCACTGCAGGGTGTGGTTTCAAGGTGTAGATGGAGAGGCCCTCACTCGCAGGGCCAGGAGGATGTGCTGTCACTACTACCCATTCTTGAAATGACAGCCTGGGAGGCCAGGCCAGAGCTGGCTCTGTGAGGGCTCATCTCCTGCATGTTTCAGGAAGAAAGTCTCACCCCAGGACTCCTGTGCAGGAAGAACCCCTAAGGATGATGGAGAGCCATTCTATGAAGTTTGAGGACACAATCGGATCACTGAGGTGGAGCACCACTGCGTTTCGTTTGCTCCCTATCCTGGTTTTCAGGCTGTGTTCAGAAGGAGGCAAAGCAGGGACTATTTCCTTCCACTAATGCAAAGACAGAGCCCCATGGGGAGGAAAAGGTAACAACAAGTCAAAGAGCAGAAACTGCCATGAGAACTTGAGAAGGGACAAGCTGGGAGGACAGGTGATCTGGGAACTAGAGAAATGAACTCAAAACCAGAGAAAAATACATCCCTGGAAGGCAGATGCATGCAAATACACAGTGGAGAAGAAAGTGAACATGCAAATAATCTCTGAGGGAAGTGGTTAAAATGCTGCTTTGCAGGGATGAGCTTGACCCCCATAAAAGATCCAAAACCAGAAGACCTGTCTGGCAGTGGGTATCCAGGGGAGGCACATTGACTCTGGGTCTAGATGTGTGACTTAGGGGGACAGCAGGAAGCATTGTGCTCACAGCCAGAGAACTGGGTGTAGGCAGAGCCAGCAGGGAATGAGAGTAGGCTGTGGCAGAGAGAGAAAAATGGTGCAAAGAAACAGGTTAAGTAGGAGTTGTGAGGAATGGTAAGGCTTGGAACTGGGAAGAAAGCAATGGAATGGGGCAGAAGCATCTCCGGCTCAAAGAGGCTGTGAAGAGATTGGTGGTCATGTTCCCACCACAGGACACAAGGCACAGTAACTCAGGTGGCATCAGAGAAGGAGTTAGTTCTGCATGAGCTGCACATCTGCATTGGGGAGCTGGAGAAGACCAGGACACCAGCAAAGGAAAAAGGGGATATTTGCAGCACTGCACTTCTCCAGTTCCCTGGTACCAACACAAGTCTCTGCTGACAGCTGCTTTCTCACAGCTGCCTGTGACACTTCTTCACATCACCTTGTGCTATTGACTGTATCGCACTGAAGTCAAATCCCTTCAAGTGTCAATACTACAGCAGTGGAAATAGCCTTGTTGAGAGGGATTTGGTACACAAGAATGTCGTGATATGAAAAGGGGAATGGTTTTAAACTGACAGATGGCAGGTTTTGATTAAATATTAGGGAGGAACAGTGGTTCCTTCCTAATATTTAGGAAGGTGAGGTGGTGAAGCACTGGAACCAGTTGCCAACAGGAGACATGTCCCACCTCTAGTATGTTCAAGGCCTGGCTGAATGGGGATATCAGAAACCTGGTCTAGTGGAAGGTTTCCTTGCCCATAACCTAGGGGGCTTGAAACTAGACTATGCTTAAAAGTCCCTTCCAACCCAAACCATTCCATGATTTGGGGATTATACCCCCGCAGCTTAGAGATGGAAAAGAAACAGGAGATGTGCACACAGAGCACAGGACATTTTTCATTGGTCTGATATTGTATTTTCTCTTGTCTAAGTTTTCAGAATTTGTTCAGCACAACCAGTACAGCTGGAGGACATTTGGCATTTCACACAACATAAAGCAAACAGCTCTGCTCAAGTAGACAAAGGACATTGAATCTCTGGATAACTGCCTTCAATTCCTGCGTCTTCCTCCTGGAGAAATCCATCTCTTTTCAGTCAGAGGCTGCTGGACCCTCTCAGAGACAAGAGGACACAAGAACACAGGAGCTGCTTCAAAGAGCCTGAGCCTCTCTGTGTTCCCTGAGCCACCACATGCACTGGGAATGCTGGACAAAGCTAATTTCACTTCCACAAACACACCGTCCCACCCCACACAGTGAAGATGTGTCAAAGCTCCTGACCCCTCCCAGCAATGCTCCCAGCTCCCTGCTCAGCTCCCAGCTTTACTCAGGACAAGGGTGTTTCCATCACACAATTACTGCTGCAGCTTCACAAATTCGATGATTCTCCAAGTCTGATCCGATGTCATTCCAGTTGTTGGGAGGTTCTGTAGGCACATGTATTACAGTGCAATTTTCACCAGGGAAATAATTTGGTTCTCCTTCTCGCCAGAACCTGGGACACAGACAGGCTTGTTACACCCCAGGGACCACTGTGAAACAATGCTGGAAAAGGCCACTGTGGGATGCAAGACTTGAAGAGAAGAGACAGAAATTCCCAATGCTGATTCATGGATTGAAGCAGTGCCCTTCCTCCCACCCCTTATCCCACTGCCTCCAGTGTCACATGGAAACCTGCCTCCTTTTCACAGCCTTCCAGCACTACAGGGTCCTGTTCCATCCTGCTGGGGGGAACTGATCACCACCACTCACCCCAGGCACCTCACTCCCTGCAGAGGCCCGTGCTGGCCTCCAGGGCAAGTTTGTACTCCAGAAGAAGGCACAGCAAGGAAAGTCCTGGTGCTCTCTCACTGTGTTCCATCTCTTTCCCTGCATTCCAGCAGAGGCCATTTTGTGCATATAAGTGCAGTGAATGCAGGTCAGGTCACGCTGGTCATCAAGGTTCTGAATGGTTCTTGTTGCCAGCAAGTTGTAGTTCTTTCCATGCCTACAGCATTGACTTCCATGTCACAGGTAGTTAATTCATAACCAATACCGGGCACAGATGGGGCATGTGAACGTTGTGTCCTACACAGCCCTCTCCTGTTGTATCTCTGATCTCCCACAAGGAAGGGGGTGACAACCTCTTCACATGCAGAACCTGAACCTCTCACACCTCCCCTACCTACATGTGCCTCAGAAGCCTTTCCCTAATGCCCTGGTTACTGTTAAGCTGGTGGTCATGTTCTTCTTTAACAGCAGCAGTTTGGGGCAAATGCCCCCTCACCAAGTTGCAGCTATTGAATTCACACAGCTCTTTGCATTCACACTCCTATTTCTATCACTTGCTGCTGACCAGGCCACTGGAAGAGTGGAGAAGTATCTCAGGCCCAAAGAGGCCATGAAGAACATGGTGGTCATGTTCCCACCACAGGACACCAAGGGACATCAACTCAAGTGGCATCAGAGAAGGAGTTAGTTCAGCATGGGCTACACATCTGTACTGGGGAGCTGGAGAGCACTGGGACACCAGGAGAGGGAGGGGAGGATATTTGCAGTGCTGTACTCAGTTCCCTGGTACCAACACAAGTCTCTGCTGATGACTGCTTTCTCACAGCTAACTGTGACACTTGTTCACATCACCTTGTGTTGTTGAATGTATCGTGTTCAATGAAGTCAAATTCCTGCAAGTGTCAATACTACAGCAGTGGAAATAGCCTTGTTGAGTAGGACTTAGTACAAAATAATTCATGATAGGAAAAGGGGAATGGCTTTAAACTGACAGGATACAGGTTTCAATTAAATGTTAGGGAGGAATACATTACTGTGAGGTGGTGAGGCACTGGAACCAGTTGCCCGTAGGAACTGTGGATGTCCCATCCCTGAAATATGTTCAGGGCTTGGCTGGACGGAGATATGAGCAACCTGGTCTAGTGAAAGGTCTTCCTGCCCATGCTCCAGGGGGCTTGAAACTAGACTATGCTTAAAAGTCCCTTCCAACCCAAACCATTCCATGATTTGGGGATTATACCCCCACAGCCTAGAGATGGAAAAGGAAAGAGAGATATGCACACAGAGCACAGGACCTTTCTTCATTGGTCTGATACTGTATTTTCTCTTGGCTAAGTTTTCAGAATTTGTTCAGCAAAACCAGTACAGCTACATTTTTATGTGACTCATAGAATACATTTTATGTGACTCAACAAAAATCAAACAGCTCTGCTCAATAACAGAGAGGACATTGAATCTCTGGATATCTGTCTTCTATTCATGTGTCTTCCTCCAGTAGAAGTCCATCTCTTTTAGTCAGGCTCCTGGACCCACTCAGAGACAAGAGGACACAAGAACACAGGAGCTGCTTCAAAGAGCCTGAGCCTCTCTGTGTTCCCTGAGCCACCACATGCACTGGGAATGCTGGACAAAGCTAATTTCACTTCCACAAACACACCGTCCCACCCCACACAGTGAAGATGTGTCAAAGCTCCTGACCCCTCCCAGCAATGCTCCCAGCTCCCTGCTCAGCTCCCAGCTTTACTCAGGACAAGGGTGTTTCCATCACACAATTACTGCTGCAGCTTCACAAATTCGATGATTCTCCAAGTCTGATCCGATGTCATTCCAGTTGTTGGGAGGTTCTGTAGGCACATGTATTACAGTGCAATTTTCACCAGGGAAATAATTTGGTTCTCCTTCTCGCCAGAACCTGGGACACAGACAGGCTTGTTACTCCCCAGGGACCACTGTAAAGCACTGCTGGAAAAGGCCACTGTGGGATGCAAGACTTGAAGAGAAGAGACAGAAATTCCCAATGCTGATTCATGGACTGAAGCAGTGCCCTTCCTCCCACTCCTTATCCCACTGCCACCAGTGTCACATGGAAACCTGCCTCCTTTTCACAGCCTTCCAGCACAACAGGGCCCTGTTCCATCCTGCTGGGGGGAACTGATCACCACCACTCACCCCAGGCACCTCACTCCCTGCAGAGGCCCGTGCTGGCCTCCAGGGCAAGTTTGTACTCCAGAAGAAGGCACAGCAAGGAAAGTCCTGGTGCTCTCTCACTGTGTTCCATCTCTTTCCCTGCATTCCAGCAGAGGCCATTTTGTGCATATAAGTGCAGTGAATGCAGGTCAGGTCACGCTGGTCATCAAGGTTCTGAATGGTTCTTGTTGCCAGCAAGTTGTAGTTCTTTCCATGCCTACAGCATTGACTTCCATGTCACAGGTAGTTAATTCATAACCAATACCGGGCACAGATGGGGCATGTGAACGTTGTGTCCTACACAGCCCTCTCCTGTTGTATCTCTGATCTCCCACAAGGAAGGGGGTGACAACCTCTTCACATGCAGAACCTGAACCTCTCACACCTCCCCTACCTACATTTCTCTACCAAGTGTCACATCAAACATTCTTCATCCAGAGATACTCACGCTGCTGTCACATTGTATGGAGTCTTGTCCACCCACTGCCACTGACCCACCTTCTTTGCAAACAGACCAATATAGACATTCACTCTTTTTGGAGGTTGTTTTGTTTGCTCAGAGAGAAATTCCTGGCAATCAGAGAGAAAGTGCAATGTCCATGAGGGGCAGGACTGAGCAGAGAGAGGCATCAGGAGTCCCCGTGGGGTGGGGCAGGTGGCAGAGGGGGCTGGTGCTGCAGAGGTGCAGACAGGACCTTCCCCCTCCCCTGCAGGACAAGGAGGGGCTCTGAGTCCCCTCCAGGGCCCAGCACTGTGCCTCTGCCTGCTGGGTCCCTCTCTGAGGCCTGTGTGCTTACCTGTTCTGCCTTGCTGCTGATCACCACCAGCTGGGAGCCCATCCCACTGCAGTTCTGTGCACTCTCAGCAAAGTTCATCTTATCAAGGGACAGGAAATAGCAGCTTCCTTGAAACCTTCTCCAGCCCTTAGGGCAGCATGTCCAGCTTCGGTCTGTGCAGGGAGAGGACAGAGAGATGAAGGCTACTAACAAGAGATCGTGATTGCAGAGATCCAGGTTTCCCAGGGACAGTGCTCATGTCCTGCTCAGTGACTTTTCCTGACAGAAAGGGATTGAATAAACAGGGATAATACAGACATTTCTTCCCATTACTTTGGGGTATGGCCAGTGAGCTTTGTGTACCCAAAGGTGTGGAAATCCTTGTAAGGGGATCTCAGGTCTCTCCAAAGCTCTCTTGGGGATGTGGTTTGAGTTGCCCTGCTACAGCCTCCTTGAGGCCCTTAGCCCCAAGGAAGAGGGGCCATTGGGAGCACTGACCTGTGCCTTGTGGCACCGCTGAGTCGCACTCCCACTCTGAGAACTGCTGCTGCAGGGCTGAGGGCTGGTCACTGCTGTGGCACAAGGGAAGCACTGCAAAGGGAGAGCAAAGGCAGCAGGATTAGCCCTTGCTCCCAGCTCCTCACGCAGCATCTCTGGCCCCTTGACTCTCCTGCCACCCTCTCCCCAGCAAGCATTGTCCCAGCTGTCACCTCTCCTGGCCCACACCAGTGGCACAGCTGCCTTCCCAGCCAGAAAGAGACCGTCTGCCAGGTCAGACAGCAGAGGGACCCCTGGAAGCACATCCCCCTGGGCACATGCCACACACACAGCAGGAGTGAGCCCTCCCAGCCACAGCCACTCTGCCGTGCACAGACCCACAGCCCAGCTGCCAGTCTACAAAGCAGCCTCTCACTGTCACCCTTTGTCCTTTCCTCAGCTGCACAGCAACAGGCATTTGGAGGAGTCACCCTCAGCTGGGCCTGTTCCATCAGCAACACACAGTCCAGGTGAAGGGAATCACTTACAGCTGGAGCTGCTGAAACCAGGGTGCAGCACAGAACCCTAGGACTTAGTAGTTCCAGTTTGTGGGGAAGAATGCACTCTTGCTGACAGGCCACAGCCACAATCCCAAGCACTTCCTAGTAACTCAGACACTCAGGAGTATGGATTGCAAGCTGATCAGGGTGTGCTTAACAATCCAGATGCCTATTTTCATCAATCATTTAATTTAGAACTATTTTCAATTATGAGCAGAACAATCCTAGTTGCTCCAGTGCCTGATTAGTGAGTGGCTGTAATGGAAGAAGGCTCAGAGGAGATGAGCAAGGGCAATGCCTAGCTGACCACCCCCACTGCCACTAAAGGTGACCTTATCCCTACCCAAAGATAAAGGATGAGAAGAGAGATGGATTCTGGTTTAGTTCAGCTGAGGGATTTGACCTGCTGTGGAGCTGTTCATCCCTGTAGGGATCAAAAAGGGTCAAGACTTCCTCAGATAGGCATGAGACCTCTGGCTGAGAGACACTGGTACTGCCTTAGCCTTCCTGGGAAAGAGGATAGGAAATCGTTGGCTCACAGTCCACTGGAAACACTCCCATCAGAGAAGAGCTATCCAAGACAGAGAGACTGAGAGCAACCTGCTCTGACAGCCTTGCTGCCACCACAGGCAGTTCCTTAACACAGCCAGCTTATCCATGAGATCTGCCTTGTGCCCACAGATTCAAATGATGGGTTAAAATCTACAGATATGTTCTCACAAAGGTCAAGGCTGCATAAGAAGGGATCTCTGACCTTTGGTTTGGTGAAGGGCACTTGCCTGCTAGCAGAAGGACTAGGATGTGGATTTTACACCTGAGCAAGGGCAGTCACCTGAGCCCTTCATCCCAAGGGAATTAAGACACCTGGGAACTCACCAAGCCAGAGGCACAAGGTCACAAAGGCAGCTTTGGTTGCAAGGGCAAAAATAAGGAAGACCCAGATGTTCAGCCAGGTGCAGCCTCTCTCTTCTGCTGGAGCTGAAAAACACAAAGCAAGAGTGAGCATGTCCCGGGACAGAGTTAGCAGCAGGATAACCCTGGGGGCTCTGTACCCCAACAGCCTGCTGGTCCCTTGTTCCAAGGACTGGGGAGTCCCACAGGTGCTGGAAGCAGGTCCTGCTGCCTGTCCCTAGCAGTGGCTCAGAGCTACAGAATAAAGGAGCACAGGGGCTGCCCTGAGGCTGCTCTTTTTTCTCTGTTTATTACAGGACCTGCCTGTATTCTGCCCAAACCTCACTCCCCCTTTGTCCTGTCAGACCTCCTTTCTCTTCAACATATCTTTCTTGTTGCCTTCCATTACCCTGTCTGTCACTGAATGCCCATTCTGGATATCCTTCCTCTTCCTGTCTTTCCCCCAACCCCTTTGACAGGAGGACAGAGAGGAAGGAAGGTTTGGGGGTTACCTGCACTTCCAGGACTGACTCTCCCTTGGCCATTCATCATCTCTGCAAGAAGATCACTCTTCTCAAGTGTCCCTGTTACCAGTGTGGCCACCTACAGCCTTCCTCCTGCACAGGCCACCTCCCACACTGGTGAGTGGCCTTCACAGACTCTAATCTGATGTGCTGAAAAAGCCATATCCTGGGTGTACCCCACAGCACATAGGAATTGGGGAACTTCCATCATTACTTTGCCAAGACATGTCACACAATACTCAGTGCAACACAAAAGTCACCAAGACAAAGGAAACAGATGAAGAGGAGCATCACTGCA